CCCTTTGGATTAGCTCTGCTTTAGACCCCGTGTGATAAGGTCCTTACTCTTGAGCAAATCTGGACAAGAAAACCCTATGATAGGGTCGCCATGGATCAGAGTCAACCTGATGTCACATAACAACAAACAAGTAGGACTAAGCCCACATATTTTTCTCTTTATAGATGAGGAATGAAGGAAGTTGCTCAGAATCTTGTAAATTTCCAACAGATGTTAGACAAGAGGTGGAAAAACCAGTTTCTTCCCTAGGACAAAGAACACTGGTCACATCTCATTATTCAGGCCCCCAAAACTACAGCTGTCAGGTCAAATATTGGTTTGAGTTTTGTGCATCTTGAGCACACACACACACACACACATATTTCTGCCTTTGGGTATACCTGTCTTTGTGCCTGAATGTTGGCAAAGGGGGAAAAGTGGTTTTATGCTCTGACACAGTAGAGGGGAGATTATGGGGGGTTACAGACTGCTAGAAATTGTGCAAATTGAGTCCACTTTTAGGGTTGGGGTTAGTGCTAGGGAATCATGGGAATTGGGTTTTTTTTCTGAGACATTGAGCCTTCTCTGTCTGAGAGCTCTGGTGCCACAATAAAATACAGTTCCCATGATTCCCTAACCCTAACCCTAAAAGTGGACTCAATTTGCACTATTTCTGGCAGTCTGCAACCCCCCTATGTCAGAGCAAACTGAAGACTTTTTGTTCCTTGAAGCAGAAGACAAATCCCCCCAACCCCATATGTGTGTGTGTGTGTGTGGGTGAGTGTGAGTGGATTGAGAGCTGAATATTGCTTCCATACAAACCACATGACAGTGACTTCCATGGGATCTGAGAGCAGCCACCTATATCATGGGGCAAAAGATAGGATGCCATAGAACCACTTTACATCCCAAAGGTGAATTGATAACAGGATTTTCTTGGCAGGACTTGTTCAGAAAGGGTTTACCTTTTCCGTCCTCTGAAGCTGAGAGAATGCGATTTGCCCAAGGTCACCCAGTAGGTTACATGGCTGACCAGGGATTCGAACCCTGGCCTCCAGAGTCCTACTCCAGTGCTCAAACCATTATACCACAGTGGCTCTCTGAAAACAAATTAAAACAGTCTGCAACAGTGCTAATCTGTGTGCACCTTGAAGGCAAAAAAATTAACTGTCAGCAGGAGATTAAGTGGAATCCATATCTGCAAAGACATCTTCTGCAGAGCCACATAGGCTGCGTCTTTGTTCTTGTCGCCTGCCTTCTAGTTGTTTTTGACTTATGGCAATCCTAAGGAGAATCTATAATGCGACTTTCTTGGCAAGATTTGTTCAGAGGAGGTTTGCCTCCCCCTTCCACTGAGAAAGTGTGACTTGCTAAAGATCATGTTGGGATTCCCTGACCGGGAATGATCTCAGACAGACTGCTGGTGGCATCTACCTGAGGGGGAAAACACCCAAGGGGGTGAAATCTCCCTCCTCCTTTTATTGACAACCTGTTTACAAGACAACTGGATGTTTGTTCATCATTCATTAACTGTCAGAAGGCAGTCAGGCTCAAAGGTCAAGAGAAGCAAACAGGAGACAGGAAACCAGGCTAAGTTAACCATTAAGGTAGACCAGACAGGTCATTAACTTAGGATGTGTATCTGTGTGTTTTTACCTGTGTAAACAACAGCCAGGCTGTGTACATGTAATTAACAGCCAGGTTAATCATTAGGGTGCAGGCTGGCTGGGTTATAGTATGTTAAATCTCAGCCAGGCTTTAGATATTAAACTTATGCATATGGCAAATGCAGCCTATTTTCATATATAGAGGGAAATATGAAATTAACATGGTATGCCAGTGAATTAACCCCACAAGATCACCCAGTGGGTTTCATGGCAGAGCAGGATTTGAACCCTGGTCTCCATTGCCGCAGTCCAACACTCAGACTGGTACGCCACACTGGCTCTAGGGTCCATCTTCACTGTAGAAATAATGCAGTTTGACACCACTTTCAAGTGCTCTGGCTCCATCTTATGATATGCTGGGATGTGTAGTTTTTCAAGGTATTTAGCCTTTTCTGCCCAGGGTGTCCTCCTTTTCTTGTCCTACATTTCAACCTTCTGTCTAGGAGGAATTCCAAAATGTCTTCCCTTTTGAGCATGAGCAACTTAGATTTATATGATAGAATTCAAATATATAGCCATCATAATGGCAAACATCAAGGATACCATTAAAAAATATAGCAATGTCAGTCTGTAGGATCAGTCTGTACTGAGACCTTGTGGCCCCTTTGAGACTCACTGAAACAAAGAAGCTGGCAGCATGAGCTTTCATGCTAGACTTCAGTCTATTTCCTCAGAAGTAATGCATCTGAGGAAGTAGACTTAAGTCTACAAAACTTACGGTGCCAACTTCTTTCCTTCAGTGAGTCTCAAAAGGGGCTACAAGATCTCACTACTTACATTTATATGAGTGTTTTTAGGTTTTATTTGGACATGTCCTACATCATTTATCGAATGCCCTCCATTTTGCGGTGCCTTGTCCTCCTTTGCGGTGAGGACGTGGTCACCCTGTCTCTTTCCAAAAAGTGCTGGTGCTTCACCGAACTACATATCCCAGGATTTCTGCAGGATGGAGCCAAGGACCCAAACACACCGCAGGAAAAATCTAGTTTGAGATTGCTTTGACTGCCCTGGCTCAGTGCTAGGGAATCCCGGGAATTGTAGTTCATTGTGGCACCAGAGTTCTCTGACAGAGAAGGCTAAATGTCTCCCATAACTACAGTTCCCAGGATTCCCTAGCATTGAGCCAGGGCAGTTAAAGCGGTCTTGAAGTGGACTATTTCTGTAGTGTCTTTTGGACCAAAGCGGCATCAAACAGCATCATTTCCACAGTGCGGACGCACATCTCCTTGGCACCTGCACCGGGCGGGCTCCGCCTGCAGCCAAGCCCCGCCCACTCCGACACGCCCACCGGCAAGAGCCACGCCCCCTCGTCTATTTCCCTCTGCGCGTCTGGCGGCGAAGAAAGAAGGACTTAACCATAGAGTCCCCTCTCTTTCGAGGTGGCTAGAGTGGCCCGTGAGGACAGACGCTCGCTTCCGGTTTTCGGAGCTGGCGTGTTTCCGGTGGTTGCTGAGGGGAAGGAAGGCAGGGGCGGGGAGGAAGGCGGCGGCGCTGCTGCTGCTCTGAGGCGGCGGTTGGCCCCACGCGGGGCCTGGCGGGAGGTACGTGGAAGGAAGGGGCTCCCGGTTTTCGGGCTCCGCGGCGGCCAGGCCTTCCGGCAAGGGCTTCGGCGGCGGCGCTGCTGCTGAGGGGCGGCTGTGTTTTGTTTTGAGGTACGGCTGAGGGGGCGCCTCCTGAAGAGAGGAGGCTGTGGCCGAGGGGCTCCGTCGGGCCTGAGCCGCCGCCGCCGCCGTTCTGAGGCGATTTAAGGAGCGGTGGAGGCAGGGAGACCAGGGTCCAAAACACACTGCAGAAATAATCCAGTTTGAGACCGCCTTAACTGCTCTGGCTCAATGCTAGGGAACTGGGAGCTATAGTTTGTTGTGGCCCCAGAGCTCTCTGACAGAGAAGGCTGAATGTCTCCCAGAACTACAGTTCCCAGGATTCCCTAGCACTGAGCCAGGGCAGTTAAAGCGGTCTCCAACTGGACTATTATTTATGCAGTGTGTGTTTTGGACGTGTTCTCACCGCCAAGGAGGACCAGGCACCGCAGAATGGAGGACACTCCGGAACAGCATAGGGCATGATGACCAAATAAAAGGCCAAAGCACTCCTGGAAAGATAAATGCATGCTTCTTCTGTGTGTGTGTGTGTGTGTGTGTGTGTTGCGTGCTGCCTTCAAGTCGTTTCCGAATTATGGTGACCCTAAGCCTAAGGCGACGCTATCATGGGGTTATCATGGTTGGTTCAGAGGACGTTTGCCATGGCCTTCCCTTCAGGCTGAGAGAGTGTGACTCGCCCAAGGTCCTATAGTGGGGTTTTTGGCCAAGCTAGGAATCAAACCCTGGTCGCCAGAGTCGCAGTCCAACACTCAGACCATTGCGCCAATACTTCATAGTCCTGCTTAAAATGGAGGACCTTTTGGGATTGCTTCTGGAGAGAAGACTGAAATGTAGGGCAGGTCCTGGGAAAGGAGGACGTGTCTCGAGGGAGCGAGGCTGAGGTGACTATGCTGCTTTTGTGTGTGTAGAGCACTGTCTTCAGGTCGTTTCCGACTCAAGTCTCCGCTGCGAAACTGGCTTTTCCAGGGCATCATCGTTTGTCGCGCTAAGTTTTAAAAGCCTGGATCATTTGTGTGTGAGTATTGCTGGTAGAAAGCTAAGCCCAGTCTCCACGTCCTTTCAAGGAGGAAGGAATACAAGAATCCGTTCTTCTCAGTGACCAGGCACCCTCCTTTTCCAGGACATGTTCTACATTTCAACCTTCTGTCCAAGAGGAATTTCCAAACGTTCTCCATTTTGAGCATGGCTAGGAAGCATGGATTTATGTTTATATGAATGTTTTTAGCTTTTGTTTTGTCATGTCCTACATTTTTCTGGAAGGTCTAACATTTTGTGGTGCCTTGTCCTCCTTTGCATCTTTGTTCGGACGTCTCCTTTGCACCTCCTTTGTTAGGACATCTGGCCACCCTGGTACTTGTTGAGATGATTTTCATATATTGCTCTCCATGATGGTTAACTGCCTTAGAGTCGACGACTGCTCATAACCCTTTGTGAATGAGACCTCTCCAAGACCCCTGTCCTCCACTGCTTTGCTTAGTTCCTGCAGGCCTGTGGCCTCCTTGATTGAGTCTATCCATCTGGTGTGTGGACTCCATCTCTCTTTAGTATCTTCTGTCTTTCCTATTGAGTCCTGCCTTCTCATGATGTGGCCAGAATAGAACAGCCTCAGTTTAATCGTTTGGGCTTCAACATAGAATTCAGGCTGAATCTTTTCTAAGACCCGTTTGTTTGTCTTCTTGGTGGTTCATGGTATTTTCAGCATTCTTTTCCATAATGATTATCTTAACAGTAATACATCAAGAACTAGGTTTAAAGTCTTTTTTTTTTTAAGTAAAAAAAAAGTGCCCAGAAATCTCTGCTCAGTAGTGTGAGCAATTAGGCTTCCAACACAGGAAATCTGTCTGGGAATGTTTGGCAACTGCCTTTTTTGATAGGAGAGAAAGAAGAATAAAGGACCTAGTAATATGACAACAGGCGTTTTGAGTTAGGCAAGAGACCCACCTTCATTCCAGGATGACAGTGCCCTCTCTGATAATTACTAGATCAGCCATCATGACCTAGTCAATTTGATGCACAGCTCAGGACAGAGCTAGGAAAGTTAGCAGGCAATGGTTAATTACCCCTTTAGATGGTCCTTTAGATTATCTGTGTTAAAATGTCATTTAAATTTAAGTTAAAAGGAGCTATGGGATGGGTAATGTTACTTTGTTGGAGAGTAAGTTTGAAATGTGGAGTTGGTGTTGAAGAGAGATGTGGCTGAGTTGTGGATGGTGGTTTTATGTATGTATGTATGTATGTATTTATTTATATTCTGCTTCTCTCCCAAAGTTGGAGCACAAAACAACTTACAAATCAAAAGAATAATACAATTAAAACATAAAACGAATGTTCTAAGTAATAGTGGGTTCTGCGGCCTTTTCTGCATTGTGGCTTCCCCCAGACTAAGGGGCAGAATGTAAGGACTAGATAAGGGACTGACTTGTAACATCTGGAAGCAGCAGTGTCATGAATGAGATAGGTTTGGAGTGTTAGCAGATGCATGTACTTCTCCTCCAGACTAATGCCAGTTTTATATCTTTGAATTAGTTCACAGTGTGAATGGGACTGAAGAAACAATGTCAGGATCTAGCTAAACAGTTGGTTTTAATGTGTGGCATGTTTGTTGTTGATCCCATACAGTGGGCCAGAGGTGGTTCTGTTTAATAAGACATTAGAAATGTGGAGTGAAGGTGGGCAGAAGCTAACAGAAGCCCTGCTTATTGGAATGGAGCAAGACACCCTGATGAAGGATCTTCTGGCAAGACTTAGCCTAAGGCTGGGAGAAAGAATCTTGTAGCTGGTGGCCCAGAGGAGAATTTCCTGTTACTTCAAGCAGCTGTTTTTACTTTA